ATAAAAGTGAAATAGAGAGGGACAGAGAGAAATGCATTCTGCGATTGACGCAGTAAGAACAGACAAAATGCATTCTGCGCAATGCGCAGTGATTACTTTATCGTTTCAAGGGAAAAAAACGACATATTATCATAAATTAATAAATGAAAATAAAATAAAGAGGGACAGAAATGCATTCTGCGATTGGAGCAGTAATTGCAGACAAAATGCATTATACATAATGAGCAGTAATAACTCTGCGCTAGGCAAGAATCATATAATATGAGAAGTAGTATAATAGGGCTTAAGGCGAAGGTCTACTATAAAAAACCTAACGCGCCAATAGGTGGAACCTCAAGGGTGGTGTGGAAGTCCACCATTTTAATATAATAATGTAAAACCAAACTGTTTGTCTGTCTGTCCGCAAAATATTAATGGACCGAATCTGAAAGAATTGTATATGAAATAAGGAGAGAATTTTCCGGGGATTGCTATAATGTGGTTAATTTATCGTTATCGATCTTTTTGGAAAACGGTAATTAATGGGTGAGTTTAGGGAGAGGAGAATAGATTTTGATGCCGCGCTTTAAATCAGATTTAAATTAAAAATTATTTATATATAAGATACATAGATATTTTTATATTTTTTGAATTATATCTTATCTAAAATTTATATTGTTGCAAACCTGCTTTTTGAAATGATTATAGATAATCTTTGCAAAATTTTATGGGAAAAATAATTTTAATAATAAAATTTTACAATGCTCTCTGAATTGCAAAATTTTATTATTGTTATATTTTTTAAATTTTTCGGAAAATAATTGATCGAATTTTAAACAATTATATATGAAACAATTTTCGTTAGAATATTTTAGAATTTTATGAGGTAGGTTTATAATTTTACAATTCTCTCTGAATTGCAAAATTTTATTATTGTTATATTTTTTAAATTTTTCGGAAAATAATCGACCGAATTTTAAACAATTGTATATGAAACAATTTTCGTTGAGCATTCTCACTAAATTAGGAAGGTTAATTATTTTAAAAAATTTTCACTAAATAATTAATTGCTCGCGACAGTCACGAATTGAAGTGACTGAATTATCAGTTTTGACATATAATATGTGAAAGCAGCAACTTCATAACATAACACAGATAAATGATACAGACACTACGCGGCGCATCGTCGTATATTTTCGTGTTATTAAGATTCAACATCAACTTCTATATTTAGGGTAGGATGGGAATGCTGCTATATAGAATGTGAGAAGCCGATTAGCTTGAAACTTGGTGACATACTCATGAGTATATATGTTCGGCTCGAACAAATACTCATAAATGTCACCAAGTTTCAAGCTAATCGGTTTCTCACATTCTATATAGATAAGTTAATGATTTCAATCAATTTAATGAAAAACATATAGATAATATCTATCTATATATACTTATATATTTATAGATAATATCTATTATATAATATATAATTAATATACAAATAGATATATATCTATAAATAGATCTATATATAAATAATTTTTAATTGTAAGCTTAAATGTTTAATCCATGAACACTCCTCATGTTTGTTCACAATAAGGATATTAAAACATAAATGAAGTCGTTTTAAGAAAAACGACTCCCGGGCGAAGCACGGGTAGCCAGCTAGTATCTATATAAAAAAGACATAGTTGCTTTTAAGAAAAAGTATGCAGATGCGTGTTGCAAATTACATATTTTTTCTTAAAGGAAATATGCCTTTTTTTATACCAATTGATTCGTCTCATTATTCTGTGCATAAAAGTGTTAAGGTAACATTACCGAAAACTTAATTTTTTACAAGATATTTTGTATTTTATGTAAAAATACTAGAACTTTCAAGCATTATAATTCCAAAAGTTCTTAATGAAAAAATACTTTATTATAGTGTTTTGAAAAGCTCTCGAGATTAGCTACAAGAATATGCATTGAAAAATAGGGATTTCCATTTAAGAAATTAAAGGTGAGTGAGCTTTAAACGATCATCCAAGGTGAAACCAATGGCACCATCTTATGTGCCCCTTCGATCCAAACAACTTTTGTATAAAACATTTCTTCCGAAAACGTCAACTTTCCGAGATAATCCAGGGTCCCGACCTTTTTGTTACACCCGGTATATATATATATATATATATATATATATATATATATATATATATATATATATATATATAT